AAGAATAAGCAGCAGTCAGTCTTGCTAAGAATAAGAAAGGAGAGTAACCTTTCAGAAGACAGGGCATGTGCAAAGGCCCCAAAGAAGGTACAAGCTAAATAAGCTGAAGTAACAGAAAGAAGACCAGTGTGACTGGGGTATAGTGGGAAACCTGCACAAACTGTAAACAAAGGCAGAATTGACTTTGATGATGCCATGGTAAGGATGCTGTATTTTATTGTAAGTACAAAAGAAAATCATTAAAGGATTATTAAAAAGGAGAATGACACAAACAGATTTATGTCATTTACTTTGTGGAGAAAGAATTGTAAAGGGGAATGAACAGAAGCCAAAGACCAGCAAGGAGGCTAAGGCAGCTGTACAGACAAACAACAGCATGGACTCTGAAGTGGAAAGGAACGTCTGAAATATTCTGAGTAGAAATGATAAGATTTGCTCATAGGAGAGGGGGAGGGGAATAGTACTAGCAGCCAGATATAAAATAGTGTCATTAACTAAGATAACAGAGTGAGAGAAAAAGTTTTGTGGGGGTAGCAGGGAAGGCAGGTTCAGTGGGCAATTCAGAAGCTTTTGGATGTGTACCTTTGAGATGCCTGTGAAAAAAGAGAGGGTATACTGAGTAGCAGCTGGATATAAATCAGGGGCTGGGAATTAGGGATATTGATTAAGTTCTTTGAACTTATGTGGAATGTTTATAAAATACAAATTAATGGGCTACACTCCAGATCTACTGAATCAGAATGGGTTTGCACATGTGCACATTTTTAACATTGTCAAGTGATTCTGATGTCAACTAGAGCTTAAGAACTACTTACATAAATAGATTTTAATGTTCTATTTCGTCACCTAGGGATATAATTCTTTATAGACGAAAGCATGTTGAGTAATATGTTACAATAATGGTTTGACTTAATAAATCCAAAGCTATCTAATCTCCTCCAGTCATACAGCATTATAGAGGAAACACTTCTAATTAACCATTCTTTCAAATGACATTTACTGAAGGCCACTCTGAAGGTGAATAATTTCTTCTATTTCATAAATATTTTCTTGCAAAATGCCCATGAAATATCTCACAGATGAGTAAATCAAGGTTCAGAAAGGTAGAATCTTGCCCAAATGACATACAATCAGTAACAAAACCAAAATTCAAAAATCAAGATACAAATTCCAATCTGCCACCCACCCTGAAAAAGTGCACCATCTGTGACATGTCACATACAAAAATAATTATAAGAAGATAAAAGGGAGTGAATTCGTTAAAGGAAACAATCAGAATTAAGAAGAAAAAATTTCTTCTTGATTTTCACTACTTAAAAGTTTCATAATTGCTAAACACTATAAATTCTACCTTTCAAAGTATCCACCAAAGCTCCTAAATAGATAGCAAAAGTGAATCTTAGCCGGGCGTGGTGGCTCACGCCTGTAATCCTAGCTCTCTGGGAGGCTGAGGCGGGCGGATTGCTCAAGGTCAGGAGTTCAAAACCAGCCTGAGCAAGAGCGAAACCCGGTCTCTACTATAAATAGAAAGAAACTAATTGGCCAACTGATATGTATATAAAAAATTAGCCGGGCATGGTGGCGCATGCCTGTAGTCCCAGCTACTCGGGAGGCTGAGGCAGAAGGATCGCTTGAGCCCAGGAGTTTGAGGTTGCTGTGAGCTAGGCTGACGCCACGGCACTCACTCTAGCCTGGACAACAAAGCGAGACTCTGTCTCAAAAAAAAAAAAAAAAAAAGTGAATCTTACATAAAAAGTTCTAAGACTCTTTCCTAACTCCAATGTACAACAGACTTAGGGTCTTTTAAAAAAGAAAAAAAAAAAAAAAAAAAAAAAAAGCACCAGGTACAGTGGCTTTGGCTTCAGAAAGGTCTGTGTAAATCCCAGCTCACAGCTCACCCATCTGCTGAAGGTCACAAAACAAGTCACTAGCAGCAGCTAAGGCTCATAAAGACACAAGGTTTGGGATAAAGAACCTATACATATACTTAATAGTCATTATCAATTCTAATTATTACTGAAAGATCATATAATTAATAATCTATAGGTTTCTGAAATTTTATTTTACACAGAATGTTGGGTTTTACTTTATTTTAGGTATGTACTTCAAAGTCTCCACCTCAACACTATAGCACTAGAATGTTTCCTGAAATGTTTACAAATCCTCTTTTGCTGACCACCTATAGATTAGGATTCATCCCCTGCCTATAAAGATCAGGATCACTCTTTACTTACCCTTTCATAAAAGTTCTAATGGTTGTAATTTTTCATTATTCCCAAGCTAGAGTTTACATTCCTTGAAGGCAAAAGCTGTGTCTAGTTCACTTGCCAACATTTATTTAATACTTGAGTACTTATTATGTGCTTAGCACTTATCTAGCTAGGGCCTGAGAATACAGCAGTGAATAAAACAAAGCTCCTGCCCTCAGAGAGCATATAGTCTAATGAGATAATAAAGATATTTTGCCAATAAACGTATATTAGTTAGGGATAAGTATTATACTATTTAAAAAGAGGGTAGGAGGGCTAGGACGTGTTACAAGAACTGAGGAAGTTATTTCACATAGGGTATCAGGAAAAGCCTCACATATACCAGAAACCTGAAATAAGTGGAAAAAGCCACACAGATCTCTGGAGAGGAGGAGTCATCCAGACAGAGGGGGAAGAATGAGCCAAAGGCCCTGTGGCAGGAACTGTACTTGTTGTATAGGAAGAACAGTAGGAAGACAAATGTTGTGTGTGGTTGGGGTGGGGAACAGACACATAAGAGGGTAGGCTTTGAGAGCAGAAGAGTGACATGACCTGAAAGAATTACACAGACTTCTGTATGCAGAATAGAGACTAAAGAATGGAAGCAGTACAGCTCATTAGAACACTGCAATAATCCAGAAGAGAGATAATGGTGGCTTGAACCAAGAGTGATGATGGTGCTGTGATGATGAGTTGGAGACTAGTTAGGTTTTGAGGATAGAACTCACAAGATCTGCTGACAGACTGGTTGTGAAGAAAGAGAAAGAGAAGAATCAAGGAGAGTTTTCTGTAAATGTTTGGGAAGAGTGGAATTAGCATGAATTGGTCAGAGAAGCAATGTTATTTTTCCCAGAACCCAGCAAAGTATCCAGTTCATAGCAGACATTCACATATTTGAGAATTAAATTTAACTGAATAAATTCCCAAAATGAAGCAAGTAAACTCAACGTATTGGTTTCCATTTGCTCCAATATGCTTTTAGCCATGTTTGTAAATTACACAAAGAGACTTAACCATGACACACAGTTAACCCAATGTGCTAACAAAGAAACCTTACACTGGGACACAGCAACTAATCCTTACCTCTCAAGAATCATTTTCGGTTTTAAATTTACAATTCTCCTGGATATAAATCTATTATGAAAGCTCTGTGACACAGCCTGAGGATTCTTACACCCAAAGTAATTAACCTGTTCATTAATGATGTCATATTCCTGGAAGGTAGAGTAGTGCAAATAGAACTCCCTAGGCCAGAATTAATTTAAAATTATAACACTTCGTGATAAATTTTCAGAATGCAACAAGACTGAACAAGTCCCCTAATAAAATAAGCCATAAGCCATCAGCATTTTTTTAAATGGCTTTTTTCACCTTAAACAATAAGTCCCTTGAAAACAAATTTCAATGAAAAATCTGAATCTTCTTGGGAATGTGAAATTTAGCACATCTTCCCCCAAGGAGAAACTTTCCTACCAGTTACTGAAACTGAGCTTCACTTCGGGAAGAACTGGGTGTCCTCACCTTTGGCACTTCTGTTAGTCATATTCCCAGTTTTTCTAACTCAGCACCTATTCTCGCTCGGTGAAGAACCACAAAGTTAGCAGAAACACATTCGAAGGAATTCTCCTAAAATAAAAAGTAACTATCCTTTCCCTCCTTCCGGTTACTTTAAAAATTTAACTGAAGCTTTAAGCATCATTTCTATCCAGATTAGTTCCCCTAATGCCCCACCCTAACCTAATGTGCTTTAAAAGAATAAAAAAAAAAAAGAAGTGCGCGTAAACAACTCTCACTGAAAACAATCGCTTAAAAACGTAAATCAGTAAGAGAAGCTGACCGTACCGAATTCAGCAACAGGCGGCAGTTTCCTTTTTCCTATCAGTCACAGGCCTTGAACCAACCCAAACAAATCCGCCGAAATGCCAGCCAGATTCCCCGTATCTCCCCCGCTCCCTCCCCCAGAGCCGGCCTGGAAACACCACAGCAGCCGACCGCGGAGCGGAACGGAGAGCCAGTGGGAAGCAAAACGGTGGTTTTGAGAGGCATGACGCTTGAGAGCCAGGTTTTCCACCACCCCCTAGACGAGGGCGAGCCCGGGCGGCGCGCACACACACTCCGCACCGAGCCGCACGCGTCCCGGCCCGCTCCCGAGGCCCGCACGCGGAGCGGCGGCGAGGCGCAGGGAGGATTCTCCCCGGAGAGCGGGAGCGAGAACCGCCGCGGGTGACGGGAGTGCCCAGGGGTGCCCGGGCGCCCGCGGAGCCGCGCGCAAACAGGCGAGCGTGCCAAGGATGGATGCGGCGTCCCCTAAAGGAGCGAAACGCTCGGCGCCTTCCACCACACGGCAAGGGCAGGGCGCCCGGCAGGGACGTGCCCGTCCGGGTGGCAAGGTTAAGGACCCCCTGAGAAGGGGCCTAGCAAGCCGCTATTTCCCAGGGAACGGGCGGGCGGCACGGGGGCGGAGGCGCGGGCTGCTGTGGACTCGTCTCTCGCCGCGTCGCCGACACAGGGGAAGCCCTGAGGAGAGGGGAGAGCGGGAGGAGCCGTGGGGGAGGGGAGCCGCCACCGAGGGGGCTGCGGTCCCCGAGCGCGCCAGGGCGCAGGACGGTGGGCTGCGCGCCCCGGGAGAGGAGGGCGCAACCCAAGCGCCCGGCCCGGGAGGCGCGACCGCCGGCGGACTCTGGGAAGCGGGCGCTGCCCCGCCAGCCAGGAGGGGAAAGGAGGCACCCCGCTGCCCGCCCCGACACTCACCATGTAGAGGGTGAAGGGCAGGCCCAGCAGAAACAGCCACAGGTAGAGGTGCAGCGCGTTCACGAAGGTGGCCTGGTGCGGGTCGTAGTACCAGCCCCCGCTGAGCGCGGCCCACACCCCCTGTCGGAGGATTTGCAGCGTCTGCGACCCCATCCCCACCCGGCGCCGCCGCCGCCGCCGCCGTCCCCGCCCCGGCCCCAGCTCGGCCTTGGTCGCCGGAGCCTGCGGCTGCCCGGTCTATCCTCCTCCGGAGCTCCGGGAGAGCGAGCCGGCGCTTCGGCGGTCGCTAGTGCTGCTGCAGGAGGAGGAGGAGGCAGCGGACGAGGAGGAGGAGACCGGGGAGGAGGAGGCGGCGAGCGGCGGGGCGGAGGGGAGCGAAGAGTAGGAGACCGGCCTCCAGAGCGCCGCCGCCATCTTGTCTCCTAACACCCGGAGCCGGGGCCAGGCCCCCGCCGCCCGCGGCCCGCCAGCGCCCCCGCGGCCGCCGCCACCGCGACCCCCGCCGGCCGCCAGCCCTGCGCCGGGCGGAGAAGCAGGCACCGCGCCCGGGCGCGACGGGGAGCAAGCCGCGCCCCCTCCAGCTCCTCCTCTCTCCCTCCCCGCCCCCTGTGCCGGCTCCCCGCGGGGGTGCGCAGCGCCTCGGCCGCCGCGGGCGCCCCCTGCCGACGCCCGGGAGAAGTGCGCGCTGGCGCGGCCAGGGCCTGGGCAGCGGAGGGTGGGGTGACGCGGTAGCGGTTCTGGGGACCCCATTCCTCCCGCGGGCGGGGGGGGGGGGCGCGAGTCGAACCTGGCAGGTTCGCTTAGCAGTCCCTGAACGGGGACTTTCTGACTCCGAAACCAATAGACTTTGTCTTCATAAAAGCATCCTGGCTGACGTTTATGGTTAAAGACCTGGGAAGAATTGAAGCTAACATCTGAGGTACTCATTGAAGGCCTGAAAGAATTAGCCGCGGCGGATGGCACTGTTGAAAAGTCACAAACGCACCCAATTTGGGCAAGAACTGTGTTGGCCCTTGGGTGAGGAAAATAGACACCCACGTTCAGGATTGGAGAATGTACTACTTCCAAAGATAAAAGTAATAGAAGTTACAAGAAATGAAAGCATGAACTGAACAGGTTGTCGTTTGTTATGTGGTGATTTTATTTTTTTTAATGTGCTGTAACTAGCGGCCATTTTTATCAATGGGCCCATCTCATCTAAACGGAGTTGAAAGATTAAGTGTGACTCCACCCCAAATTACAATAAGGTTTTGTACTTTTCTTTTTATAAGCTGTAAAAACTGGGACTCATTCTTGGCTCTGTGTATTGTTTATAATGATCTCATTGAATGAAATTTTCTAAAAAAGAGTTTGAAGTTTGAGTTTATAGAAGTTTTAGTTTTACAGCAATAAAAGTACTCCATAATCCCGGATTAAAGTTGCTATAATTAACGAGGGAAGCAAAAGAGGCAAAAGAGACTGGTGACATTTTAGCAAGAGTAATGAAAAACCATTGCAATACTTCCATATAACTTTATAGCTGTTCAAACCTGTCACCCTCCATTTTATTTGACCTTCCAGATACTCCTGTGAGGGCAGCATAGTGGCTATCCTTATTTTAATGCATGAGGAAACCCATGCTTAAAGAACTAAGTGATTGCCCAAGTTCTTATAAGTAATAATTGGTTTAGAAGAACTTTGAAACCTGCAGTCATCCTAACTACATGAACTCAACTTTGGAAATTTATTTCTCAGTATGCTCTACCTTATCCATTAAGGTAACATTTTGAACTGATCAATAATATACTTTTAAACATATTTATATATCCAAACACAACATTATAATTAAATAATGCAATTTTACAATTAAAATAGTGGCCTTGAAGCTCAGTCATAGACACAGGATATTGTCAAGTTTTCATTTGTTTCTCCTCAAGGAGACAGGAAAGCTCTCTGAGGAGGTTTTGGAAGTGATCCCAAGCTTCCCAACACAAAGAAAGACGTAAACAAGGATAAAATTCCAATACCACATCAGTTTCCACACCAGCAAATATTCGCTGTGGTTTAATATAAAAGGATTAACTGTAATGAGCGTGAGGTAGACAGGAGGAAATGGAGACTAGAACCAGATACATCTAAGGAATAGGAGGCAGACCCAGCTGGCGTGATGAACATTCAGCCAGAAGGCAGTATCTGGAGGACATGGTACTGGCAGCAGGCCAGGAAGGCAGCCGGCATCAGGCCTCTTCAGCACAGAGAATGCAAACAAGTGTTGTAAGCCAACGGACAGCTGGAACACAGCCTTGGGAAATCCAGGAGCAAGCAAAAATTGGGAAGTCATGGCAAGTATTGAGAAAACACATTGCTTATATCAAGCTCCCAGCCTCAATGCTGAGGTCTTCTAGGTCTGGACTTTAGTCCCTATGGACAACTAATGAAAACAAATAGAATTCAGGTCCTTGAGCTGATGGGCTGGGCAAGTTTTAGGGGCTCAGGAAAATAAAACAAGTATCCATATCTAGGCCTGGGAGACAGAGTGAGACTTAAATTAAGCAGGAGCTTAATACCTGGAACTGGACCGAATTTCACACTGAGCATGGTTGCCTTATGTGGCGAGGTCACAAACTGTTAACATAGAACTCTAACTCCCCTCTAACATGGCTGGGATTGGTCTCAGAGCCTAATGGTGGTAGTCACACGGCAACAGCCACTGGGTGAAAAGGGGCCAGCAGGATTGGCAGGCCCAGAAGTTAGAAAGGACAGTTAGAGACTACAACTTTCAACTCTGGACTGGTAGAAGCATTTTAGAAAACTGCTAATTAACTGATTTAGGGAGTAGCAAATTGAAATAATCCAATGAAAAGGCTGACCTTTCCAAATGACTGACTCAGTCATTGGGGTAGGAGGAAGAGAGAATCCTATAGTGCTTTTTATCTGTAGCTTTCAAAATGTGAATGCTGCCACAAGCTTCCTACTTTATAAACAAGAGGCCAAGGCACAGAAAGGTTAAATGGTTTGTCCAAGGTAACACTTCATCATACCCATAAAATATAAGAACAGGACAAAAATTCAGGCATCTAATTTACTAAGTGTTAACCCTCTTAGCCATGCATAGAAGCCATGAATAATGTCACACTTAGCATGTCAAAGTTAGCAGCCATGACGTATTACCAAACCATCACCTGACATTTGCTCATCTTTCAGCTAATCCTATTAAAATGATATTTCCTGACTAGCTCATAGGCCCCCTGAGGACTGAGAATGCTAGATAGCAGATGCTCTCTCCCTGCCTAAAGAGGCAAAGCTGAGTGTGCAAAACCTTCTAATAACCCTACCCAAGCCCACCTTGGAGAAGAGTTGTACAAACTGCAGCTTTAGTCAGTTTATGTGAGGACAATGATCTGTTTTAGACATTATGGCCCACATTCCCTGCCAACAACCCAAATACAGCAAGTACCCATGTCTTCCCCAGACAAGCCCCTCTTCTTTCTCTTAGTGAAACCAACATTTTCCAACTTGCTCAGGCTTGAAACCTCATATACCCTCCCCCATTATCTAGTCTCCTATAGTCTTTCTCCTGCTCACCCTTCCTTTTATGTCGCCAGATCAACCATCCGAATGGATGCCCTTATCAACTCATACCCAATAGCCTCCTATTGCTACCAGCCTCTCCTCTTCTAAACTGTTCTACCTTCCACCAACAAATTAATCTCCCTAATCCACTTTTCTTAAAAGCCTTTAATTCCCTTCAGTTGCTTACAGGACTAAAGGCATACTACTTAGCTGGGCATTCAAGGTCCCCAGCAACCTGAATCCCTATTTTCTCCAACTTAACTGCAGCTACTGCCCAGCATGACCCCTTTTTATTAGTGAATATCAGCATACCTATTTTTTTATCAGCCCACCCATTCATTAATTTCTGCCTCTGTGCTCTAACCAATACCATTTGTCTTACCTAGAAAACCTTACCCCTCCACCTGCCTACTAAAATCCACTATGTCTACTCCAAATCCATTCATCTATTGTTTGAACAGCCTAGAGCATCATGTTCCACTCACTTAGCATTTATTTGTGGACTACTTGATATCTCTCCATTTAAACTGTACATTCCTTGAGGGCAGGGTACTTCTCAGCATGACATACCATGCCTACCAGAAAGCTGTTAAGATTAATTGACACTCAGATCATATAAATTGAATAAATAAAGCACAAAACCCAAATGATTTGCAATTAGAGATTTTAACCTGTTTTAGCATTTATTTGGCAACTCTTCAACATTTAAACACATTTTACCAGCTTTGAAGGTCAGTTCAAGGAAGGAAAAAAATATATGGAATAAAGGTGAAGAAAATTTGGAAGAGAAGGGAAATGCCCTAGAATCCTTCCCTGGTTCTCTTTTAGCTATATACCACTTTGTATCATATCAGGAAAATAAATAAAAGGAGGGAGGATACTTCCCAAATCTTACATAATTATAAAATACCAATATCTGGATATGAAACTAAATAAGTAAAAATAAAAGACTTTCTATGTAGGAGATGATCCTTCTTGGAAATCTCAACTCAATCTCTTTTTTTCATGTCAATTCCATATGATGAGTACTTTCAAACGTGTTTTAAAACATGACACTAACTGGTTCAGTAATTCTTGTTATGATTTTGTGTCTTCCTGAGAGTATCCTGTTGTAACTCAAAAAACCAATTCACTTTTCTTAAACACTTTTGGGGCAAGGCAATGAAAGGAAAGAGGAAATATATAGAGTAGTGCAAAATGTCCCCAAATATTGGGAATCTCTAAATTAGAAACAATGAACACACACATCGTTTTCTACCTTTTGACATTAAAAGATTCTTCTGTGTCAGTTTGATGCCTCATGTGTTTATTGCATATTAAAGAACTTGTTTACCTTGCTGTTTCAGCAAGGGTAGCATAATTTCAGCAGGATCCACTGGGACAACTGATGTAGCCAGGAGATTTTCTAAAGAGCTCTACCTTCCTTGTTAGTAGCTACCAGTGTCATCTGTTACACCTCCCTGTATTTATGCAGAAATGAGAAAACTGTCACCTCTGGAGGCCGGAAGTCTGGCTCCTCTGGCAAGGAGCACCAGAAACATTCCTTGGTGGGAAAGTAGTGGAAAGATTATGGGGTGTGGAATCAGATAAACCCGTGTTTCAATCCACCCTCTGCTGTTTCTAAATTAGTCCTAGCCCCAAGTCAAGGAATCCAAGCAGAATGGAAGAGCCCTGAGAAATTCAACGTTGCAGACTCGTTGCATTTTGTTTAGATGGCAGAAGCTTTTGGGCATTCCAATGATATAATAAAAAGGTTTTTTCCGCTGGAGATTTTTCACAGCTTTCTTTATGGAAACCTTGACAGTACATGGGAATATATTTCTTATTAGTTTATTTGTTGATTTGGTTTGGGTTTTTGGTTATTTTGGTTTTGGTGGGGTTTTTGTTTTGTCTTGCCTATTGTCACTGGGATTCGGCAACTGTTAACACACATAACCATTTTCTAATTATACACAAATAGCTTATTTTGTTTATTCATCCTGGGGGATAATATATTCAGGATAAAATCTTTCAAATAAATCAGCAGAGATGAT